TAAATTCTAGCACATATAAAATTGGTGAGAATTCACAAACTTGATTATCATCAAATTAATAATAATAATTTGTGAATTAAGGTAGCAGTCCAAAGTGAAAAATATTTACAGGTTCCAAATGGAGAAAAATGTAGAGGAAGGCAAAGTGGAAATGAGGAGGTGTGGGATTGGCCAGAAATATTCCCTCACAAATGAAAATACACACACTCATAACCATACATGTGCACATTGGCAAATGAAGGCCTTCAAAATCATAGTGAAAAAAATGAATTAAATGCAAATGTGTTGTACCTTAACTTTCCAGAAAAGGATAATTACATTATTATATGTTATATATTATATATACAGGGGCACTGTAGCTCCTTTTTTTCCCACTTAAAATGTGGGTTGTTCACATCAAGAGATGTTGTCAATTTTATAGGGCATTTATTAACTTGGATTTTATTAAAAATAAAAAAGTATTAAAAATTGAGAGCTGACAAATATGATTTGAATGGATACGGAACTCCAGACAAACGTGTTGTCTGAACTCTGCCTGATGTACTGCTGCTGCCAGGAAGCATTAAAGTAAGAGTGAATGGTCAATATGTGCTTACATATCACATGTCAGGCTTAGTGAAGTGTTCCACTCTTAGAAAATTATATTGTTAAAAATAAGTGACGAAGCTTGAGTAGCACCTTCAAACCCATAAAGACATTTGGAGGAAATGAAGCATGCTTGCAATAAAGCCAGGATTCTAAAATAGTGAGACTCAAGCTCATGCAAAGCATCTTGCCAAGTAATCAGAGAAAAAATGATTATACAAATTTCCAACAATAAATTCCTGTTGCATTTCTTGAGTAAGTACATAGGGTAGGAAAGTGAATCATTAGAACCCCATTTTACCAGACATTTCTGTGGAGGCTTTGTAAGTATTTATTCCCCTGTTTCTCTTTCTTTTTTTGAGAAGCTCTTGAGAAGGAAAACTTAACTTAAATCCAGACTTAGTGTCAGGCTCCATTCCTTGACAGTGAAAAAGGGGAGGGGGGATCATTCCAAACTTCCTTGTCACTGTTCAAGCAAATGTTCTATCTATCATAAGAATTGTGGTTCCTGGGTAATAGATTAGGCACATCAGAGGTTGACCAGGTCACATGGAATCCTAAGTATATTTATCACTGGCCAAGCTTCAAACTGAGTTTTAAATTTTGTCAGATGTGAAAAACTGCTACCAGATGGTGTCAAGATAATTCCTCTCTGTGTTAAAAACACACTTAGATATAGTCAATAGTAAAAATCAAATAATTAGTCCAAACACTGTACACACCTGGCACCATTCCTAACTACAACTTAGGAGGTGTATTATTAAGGTTTCTATGCCCCTTCAATTAATTCAGCCTACACAATTAATACACAGCCTACTAACACAATTAGCAAATAATAATTTTCTAGAGCTGTGGGTCATCCCAAAATAATAGGCAGAGACAGTATGTTATTCCAAAATGTAATCCTATTTCCAACTGCAAGAGATAATTTATTTTCTGCCACCCCCACCTCCATCCTGTACCCCTGTCAGCTGAAAGAATGTTAAAAGTTCATGTTTTGGGGTACTTATCCTTACCACAGAAAAGAACACCCACTCTCCTCGAAGATAAATTCTCATTTTCTGTGGCTAAACTTCATTTTTCAATCAATGTAGAAATGTAATACAAACATTTGGAAGCTCCTCAGACATAAAAACAACAACAACAACAAAAAAAAAAAAACATGCTGTTCGTTCAGAAAGATAAAAAGAAGAAGGCAGAAGGAGACTTTGAGAAGAGGGTTTTTAAATGTCCAAGGAAGTAAACTAAGCCAGAAAAAAATATATATTATATGTTTAAAAGCACAAAGGTGTATGCTATTACTAATTAATTTATAATGTTTGCATTTTATATTTTTTTAGAAAATAAATTGGTACATTTAATGACACAACTATTTGTTTAGCTCTTCTCTGTTGTGGCATTTCAGTGGGTAGGGCTGGGATCTAGAATCACAATTCATCTAGCTGTTAAGAAGAAAATCACATTCTACTTTAAAATGTGTAACTGAAGGGGGATTCTGGTAATGGTCGTTTGTAGATGTAGAATAACACATAATGTTGGGGGAAATTCTTCTATTAGAATCATTCTGGGCACCTAGAATCCTTACTAGAAATAATTAGGGTTCCTATTTTCCCCACAAGTCCTACTTACTGCACTGCTAGAGAGAAAGCATCATGTAATTTTAATTCTCAACCCTACTGCAAAAAGTTTTCATGCTAGGAAGTAGCTAAATTATGGGACTTCCAGCATTTGGGTTCATTTCCTAGAAAACCACCACTTTGAATAGGGCCATACTCCCCCCACACCTCAATGAAGCACAATAAAGATTTTATTTTATGCTCCAATAATCATTGGCAAGAGCATGATGCCTCCTTCTGCCATCACACAGGGAAAAGCACATGAAGAAGATCCCAGGAATCAGGAAGATGGGGTAAAGTGAGGTCACAACTGGCAACAACAAAACCATCCAGTCTTTGAACACAAAGATTGTAAATGTCTACTGTTTTTTAAACTTATTATTTTTGGCAGGGTTGCATATGTTCTCTGTGCTCATTCCACAAATCTGGCTGATTATTATTCCAATCACCAGAGGAAGAGAGAGTCACATTAATTTGTAGTAATTAATAGCACTGATGCATTTGACAGCGCATGTTAACAAGCCTCTTTGATTGTTTGGATCTCTAACTGCGGCCCTTCTTGTTTGCATCACCTCCAAGGAATTCATAATATCAAAGCTTAACGGTATCTGATACTTGTCAAAATGCAATTTATAAAAGTTTAATTCTTTTATTGATTTAGTTTGGTTTTGATGCCTGCAGAGTCAGCTCCCTTGACAGAACTTAGCGGATTCAAATGCTTGTCACCAGCTCGGCCTCCTTTTTGCAGGGAACAATTGCCATAGGCCAAGCCAACAGGCATGGTTTAATTGCCATTAATTAAAAGCATAAATCTCTTTTTTCTTCAGTTGCTCTGCTCTTAAAGGGGGCTGCACATATCTCTCTTTTCCTGTGTTTGTCAGAACACCTTCTGGCAAGCAAAGTTAACCCATTCCATCTTTCTAAGCACTTTCTGGGATAATCTTTTGAAGCATTGCTCTTATGATCTGATGTGAAATGCATGCAGTTCGGTGATATTTAACAAACTGGATTCCTTCTTTATTGCGGTATAATGAGGTCAAATGAATCCCTCCATGGGTTGTATACATGCTTAAATGGTTTTTGCATCAAATTCCTTTTGACAGCAAATAAAGCAGGAGCCAAACAAAACATCAGCTACTTAAATTGGAAGGGAGGGGAGATTGGATGAGAATGAGCTTTTAAAACAAAAACACATATATGCTTTTTAACATTAGGTGCAAAGAACCTTCCAGCAAAATAAGTCTGCCTGGTCATTTTCAGATTGGAAGCAATTAGTGAGATTCTTGGGAAAAAAGGAAGTGCTGAGCTTAACAGAGCCCAAATGATTATACAGTAAATATTATTCCAGCTCCGTTTACCTTCTAGTATTATCATTAAATCTATTTCATTTAGAAAGGACCCAGTGATGTTGTAAGCAAGGTAAAAATAATGAGGAGAACTCATCGCTCACTTTGATGGGGGAAGGTAAAGAGGGTGGGTAAAGTGGGTAGGTTCTTTTTATTATTATTATTATTTTTTTACTTGCCCACAATTATCCTATGAAATGATTATCCACCAGGCTTTGCTATTCAATGGCAGTGTCAAAACAATTCGGTTTCCCCTGGCTGCCAAGCGCCTTCTCCTTCCCCCTCAGTCCTGCCGCCATTCGGGGAAGTGTCGCTGTAAGCAGATTATTGCTTTAAAGCATTTACACATATTAGTTTTGCTGCATCTGCCAGCTTTAGCAGGATTGCCGAGCTGCGGAAGTCCTCCTCGCTTTATTTAAAAGAAAAAAAAAAAAAAAGTTCGGTGCTGAGCTGCTCGGTGTGCTCAGCGCATGAATATGTTATGCATCTGTTTTCATCGGGTCAGGCTGGGGAGAGTGATTGATTTTTGGCCCCAGTGCACTTTTTGCAAAAATCTTTAAGCGAATGCGGTGTTGTTTAATTGGGAGCGTTCGAGCTAGACGCGCGGCTGCTGGTGCTGGAATCTCTGGAAATCCGAGGCTGAGGACTGCGTTCGTCGGATGGTGACGGTGACGGCGGCAGCGGCTGCTACTGCAGCGGGACTCCCAGCCGCCCAGCCCTAACCCGCAGGGGTGACCTACATACCCGCCGTTCCCGGCCCGCGTGCGTGCGTGTGTGCGCGCGCGCGCCTGATGTTGGGGAGATTTTTTTTTTTTTTTAAAGCCTAGCGTTGGAAGGGAGGAGGTTCCAATTAAAACCAAAATAAGCTGCTTTAATGGTCTTTTAAATTGACAAGTGAACAATGATTTTAGTATTGGTATCTGTCAAAGGTCCTAGGAAATCCTCAGCTGATAAGGCCCAATGCTTCCAATTAGGAACCGTGCAGATCTGCAGCCAATAATGATTTCTGGGTCCCTGCAGAAATGCTGCAGACACTTATTGCAAATTACTGACAAAAAGCTCTGCTGTATTGATGAGAGGAAGTACAGGCGGCTTTCGGTGTCCCCGTCAGGTATACCTCATAATGAGAGAGCTTGAAGTTTTGACTTAGCCTTTTTCCTTCCCTCCACCCTTAGAGCAGCATTTCATTGATGAGTAAAAATCTCGCCTCCCACCAGCTTTAAGCATGTTAGACATTTCTTCCCAGATTTTTTACACGAAGGCCACTAATTTGATGTCAGGCGCCGGCAAAGCTCTCATCAATATTATCTACGAGTGCTGCCTAATACAGCTCCAACGCCCGAGGAATCAAAATAAGCAAATCTTTGAAGGTTTTTCAGGCTCCAAAAGGCAGAGACCGAGAGAAAAAGGTGCAAGAAGTTTCTAAATGCGGAGCCCCCCTTTCCCAAGCGACGATCGGAAGAGCA